CCAAAGGCGTGGGATTACAGGCTGAGCCATCCAGCCTGGCTGAAAAATGAGTTTTAAAGCAAGCTAGATTACTCTATGACTCTAACCCTAGTGTATAAAATACAGACTTGACAAAGAATTTTTCTAGCTCTAAACTTCTATCATTCTTCAGTATTCAACTGAACCTTGAAGCTAACTAAGTTTTACTAATTATTGGCCAGAAGAGCACTATAAATTCAATTAAGCAAACATTTAATGAAATCTTATGATGTCCCAGGTTCTACTGGAAATATAATTCACTATAACAGAAACATTCTTCCTTTGAGTTCACTTTTTCAATTCCCAAATTTAAAACATCACTTTTCTCAAAGGATTTTACTATTTCTGGGCTGAAGGCTACGCTAGAAAACACAACAATTGATTCAGTTTAAAACCCAGAGGATCAGCTCATTCCATTAACTTCCAAATACAATTTGCTTTTCTTAAATATATTCTACTCTTCTTCACATGGAGGGTACAAAATCGAATGCTTAATAGAAAAATTTAAATAGTGCATATGATTACAAAGACCATAAAAAAAACTTGGGCCGATGTATCTAGAGGCATAATTTCAGATTAACTCTTCTATATACTACCTTACCTCACTCAGTTCATAATTGCTTCTTTTTATTTATTTATTTTTAGTTGGAGTCTCACTCTGTTGCCCAGGGTGGAGTGCGGTGGTACACTAATGGCCACCACAGCCTTGACCTGCTAGGCTCAGGTGATCCTTCCAAGCAGTTGGAACTACAAGTGCATGCCACCATGCCTGGTTAATTTTTTGATTTGTTGTAGAGACGAGGTCTTGCCATGTTGCCCAAGCAGTCTCGAATCCCCGGGCTCAGGCAATCCTCTTGCCTCCACCTTCCAAAGTGCTGGGATTACAGTCGTGAGCCACTGCGCTGGGCCAATTCTGTTTCTTGAAATAGCACTGTATCACCAATCCTCATCAGTCACCTTACAAAATCCATTCACTCAACAAACATTTAACATTCACTCAACAAACATTTAACTCAATGAGATGCTCAGTGTCACTGATCAAAGAGCAGGACTAGGAGAAAAGTAGAGATGTCTTAATACAGCCTAACTATCACCAACAGAAAAACACAGCTCCCATCAAATGGCCTAGGGTGAGTCGGCCAGGAGAGATCGTCTTATATACAAAGGGTAGCACTTTACAGGGAGACTGCATTCTAAAAGCCACACTGCATTTCTTTGCAAAGTCAGTCCTATCTAGGATATGGCTTTACATTAATATTTATTGAGTCCCCTTAGACACAGAGACCTAAACCACAAGGAACAAACAGCCCTCTTCCTCACATTATGAAAACCCAAATTATATTTGAAAATTCCTCATGTTCAAATCAGAATAAAAGTCTAATTTTTCTATCTTTTTAGAGAAATAAGAAAACAAATAAAATATTTACAGAATTAAAAAAAAAATAGCCAGACATGGTGGTGCATGCCTATAGTTCCAGCTACTCAGGAGGCTGAGGTGGGAGGACCTCCTGCGCCTAGGAGGTCAAGGCTGCAGTGAGCCGTGATCATGTTGCTACATTCCAGTCTGAGCAACAGAGCAAGAAACTAAAAAAAAAAAAAAAAAAGTTGAAATAGATAAGATCGCAAAGTTTCTTTTCTTCTTTTTCCATTCTTTCTCCCTTCTTTCTCCTCCCCTTCTCTCTCTCTCTTTTATCAGGGTTTCACTCTATTGACCAGGCTTGAGTGCAGTGGCATGATCACAGTTCACCACAGCTTCCAACTTCTGGGCTCAAGCAATCCTCACGCCTCAGTCTCCTGAGTATCTGGGACTACAGGCACGTGTCATCACATTTGGCTAATTTTTTTTTTTTTTTTTTTTGAGTTGGAGTCTCACTCTGTCACCCAGACTAGAGTGCAGTGTCCGCTCTGCCACCGCAGCCTCGACCTGCTGGGCTCTGGCGATCCTTCCGCCTCAGCCTTCCAAGTAGCTGGAACTACAGGCGCGTGCTACCACGCCTGGCTAATTTTTTATTTATTGTAGAGATGTGGCCTCGCCTGCCCAGGCGGGTCTCGAACCCACGGGCTCAGGCAATCCACTTACCTCAGCCTCCCAAAGGCGCGGGATTACAGGCTGAGCCACCGAGCCCGGTATTTGGCTATTTTTTTTTTAAACTTATTGTAGAGATGAGATCACACCAAGTTGCCTAGGCTGGTCTCAAACTCCTGAGCTCAGGCAATCCTCTTGCCTCAACCTCTGAAAGTGCTGGGATTACAGATGTGAGCCACTGCTCCCAGCCTCAAAATGTCTAAATTATGACAGAACTTGGGAACAAAAATAGCATCTGTAGGTGAAAAGAACGCAAAGGACACAAAACTGGCACCTGCAGCCCTTCCCTTGCTCCACCTCAGGGCCCACCACCCCAGGCAAACTCGACCCGGAGCTGCCCTGGCTTCCTGCTCTGGACATTCCTCCCGCTGCTCTGCCCTCTACGTGCTGTCGGTTGAGTTTCCTGATGTGGCGTTCTGCTTGCCACTGTGCCCAGAAGCGCTCCATAACTGCGCTCAGCATTCACAGGATGGCCCCACGTCCACAGTCCAGCCTGTTTCAGCTTTGGCTGCGTATCACCCATGTGACAGCCACACGGAACAGTGTGCTGTTCCCTAGAATGGCCCATACTCTCCTGAATCAGCTCTTTTGCTCATTCTGTTCTCTCTGGCCAAAATGCCCTTCCCTCCCCCGCTAAAATCCTATCCAACTCTTCTCTGATGCTACCTCTCCACAGATCTTTTATTCCAGCTGGCTGTGATTCTTACTCCCTGGACACCTCAGTGTGCTTTCAAGTGTTTCTCTTTTTTTTTTTTGAGTTGGAGCCTCACTCTGTCGCCCAGACTGGAATGCAGTGGCTGCTCCCGGACACTGCAGCCTCGACCCGCTGGGCTCCGGCGATCGTTCCGAGTAGCCGGAATTACAGGCACAGGCTACCATGCCCGGCTGATTTTTTTATTTATTGTAGAGATGAGGTCTCGCCAAGTTGCCCAGGCGGATCTCAAACCCGCAGGCTCAGGCAATCTACTCACCTCAAGCCTCCCAAGGCATGGGATTACAGGCTTAGCCACCGAGCCCGGCTCAAGTGTTTCTAAAGGCATAAATATCCCTCTTGATATCATAATTACTTGTCACCCCCACTGCAGAACCTGAAATCCTCAGAGGCAGAAGCTGCCTGATTCATGCTCTATGCCCTGAAGCAACTGGCACCAGCCTTACACACTGTAGGCACTCAGGTCTGTACTGAGTTAAGCTGTTCCAAATTCTGTCCCAAGAAAATCCCTGGAAGGAAAATATTTTGAGCACATAGACAGACAATGAAAGGGCAGTGAAAGTGTTTTGAGAAAAAGTCTCAGAACATGAAAAATGTATACCAGTGGCAGAAATATTTTACTTTGGTAGGGAAGACCTACAGGCTTTTGTGAGGTCATGATTAAACAAAACAAAACAAAACAAAAAAACCATACATACACACAAAACTTTTCCTTTTCCAGGTAAATAACAAATGAACTAAAAGAAACTAATCTTTAAAATAATAGGCCGGGCTCGGTAGCTTAGCCTGTAATCCCAGCACTTTGGGAGGCTAAGGCGAGTGGATTGCCTGAGCCCGTAGGTTCAAGACCCACTTGGGCAACTTGGTGAGACCCCATCTCTACAATAAATAAAAAATTAGCCAGGCATGGTAGTACGCGCCTGCAGTTCTGGCTACTTAGAAGGCTGAGGCGGAAAGATCGCTGGAGCCCAGCAGGTTGAGGCTGCCAGGAGCATGCCACTGCACTCCAGTCTGGGTGACAGAGTAAGATTCCAACTCAAATAAATACATACATACATACATAGATAAATAAAATAAAATAAGATAATAAATGCACTGGGCGCAGTGGCTCATGCCTGTAATCCCAGCACTTTGGGGAGCGAGAGGACTGCCTAAGCCTAAGGGGTTTGAGTTCAGCCTGGCAACTTGGCGAAACCTCGTCCCTATAATAAAAAAAAAAATGAGCCAGGCGTGGTGGTTAGCTCCTCGGAAGGCTGAGGTGGAAGAATCACCTGAGCCCAGCAGGTAGAGGCTGCAGTGGCCATGAGCAGGCCACTGGACTCTAGCCTGGGCGACCGAGTAAGGTTCTGACTCAAAAACAAATAAATAAATAAAAAATAAGAAAAAGAAAAAATGCAATCATTTTCCCCATCAAACTGTAGAAAGTAATACAAGAAATGCTAACAATTTTGTTACAATAAAATTTTAAGGCTGGGTGTGGTGGCTCAGCCTGTAATCCCAGTGCTTTGGGAGGCTGAGGTGAGAGGATTGTCTGAGCCTGGGGGTTTGAGACCAGCCTGGTCAACTTAGTGAGACCTCATCTCTACAATAAATCACAAAAAAAACTAGTCAGGCGTGGTGGTGTGTGTCTGTAGTTCCAGGTACATGGAAGGCCCGTGAGGCACAAGGATCGCCTAAGACCAGCAGGTCGAGGCTGAAGTGGCCATGAGTGTGTCACTGCACTCCAGCCTGGGATACAAGAGACACCAACTCAAAAAAAAAAATCTTAAATTGTCCTAATAGGTTATATGTAGTTAGTCCCAGGAAAAAGCCAAATTCCTTTTTTTGTTACTGCACTCCCAAGCAATAGGAAGTCAGGGTAAAAATCATAAGCTTTTTAAAAGTTATAGTCTCCAAAAATGAATGAATGAATGAATGAATAAATGAATGGATTTAATAAGATTTGATTCAGAGTTTAATGCCAGTGTTTCTCAAAATATCTGTGGACAAGAACTGGTTTTTGAGTATCTCCTATCTGTTGCAGATGTATACTCTTCTAAAATACAACAAAAGTACTGCAGCCATGTGAAAGGGATGCAGTGCACTTTCTGTACTGAACTTGTCAAGGACCAGGACGGCTCTGCCTCCCCACACCCACACACGTTCTGGAGCTTCAGACACGGGCCAAGGGGACTGGGGGCCTACCTTCTGCTCTTGCACCTCAAACACGGCTTCGTGGACGCTGCACGCAAAGAGCGAGGTAGGCAGGTCGCTTAGATCCATCATCTCCTCCAGATCATCTTCATTTTCACCAAAAACCATCTCCTCTTCCTCCTCTTGGTCACTGCTACACAGATCTGACTGGCTGTCATTCCAAGATTTCATAGTGTCCCTTAGCATTATTCCCTAACAGCAGGTATTTTCTGTCTGTAAAGTTCAGGATGTCTGTCAGGTGCCCACTGTTAAAAAGAAGAAAACAAAGTTAACATTGTGCAGGCCAAATAACGTTCTAATCAACCAATTTCTCAAGACAGCAGTTCATCAAATGAAGCAATTCTATTCAGGAAAGATAAATCAGCATTTAAATCAACTCATCACAGTCCTCATAAATGAATTCTACATACACTAATTTGATTTGCTTAGCATATTTTACATAATATATTTCGCTGGCAATGCCATATTAAGAAAAAAAGGCAAAAAGTTTTCTAGTAAGATTAGAGAAAAAGGATAATATAAAATGAGATGGTATCAACATGCACACTAGTTTGCAGGCAGCAGGAAGAAAAATGTGAACCAGAATGGCCTTCACATATTTGTTTTGGGTTTTTGGTCTACAACATTGAAACTGGCACAGCAGAATAAAACCCACACTGATTCACTCACCATCTGCACCCTGAAATATGGTCTGTGATGAGCTTACTTTGCCTTTCCTAACCAATGTGTTCTTTTTGAATACACTCTCAAAGAATTCAACTACATAGAACCAAAAGTTGTCTATAATGTCAGTCTTTGTTAATATTAGAGGCATTTACAGTAGCAACATTTAACATAGAAAGCAATAAAAAAGATGTCCTTTTTCTGACCTTTCAAAAATCACTAATTTAGCCCAGTGCAGTGATTCATGCCTGTTACCCCAGCACTTTGGGAGGCTGAGGCAGAAGGAATGCTTGAGGTCAGGAGTTCAAGACCAGCTTGGGCAACACAGTGCCTGGGAAACATAAACAACATTGTGTCTACAAAAAAATTTAAAAATTAGCTGGGTGTTGGTGACACGGGACTATAGTCCCAGCTACTCAGGAGGCTGACACAGGAGGATCACTTAAGCCCAGGAGTTAGAGACTACAGTGAGCCATGGTCGTGCCACTGCAATCCAGTCTGGGCTACAGTGAGACCCCGTCAAAAACAAACAAACAAACAAACAAACAAACAAACAAAAAACACTAATTTTAAGCCAAATGCCTGGAGTGGAGCTGACAGTGTCCCTCTGTTAAGTAATGAGACAGAATCTATCTCCTTGGGCAAGTCTGTCTCCTCCAATGAACTACACACCACACCCGCCCAGCAGAGAGCCTTGGGCAAAACACATTTCAAGATGCTAACACAGAATTTAAGAAATACCTATCAGGTACAGAAAAATTAAGTGATCATGATTCATACTTCATACCCAATGTGTCATTTTCCCTTTTATTCCAAAGAACACAAGGCCACAGATAAATTGCTTATACAATGCATTACAAGGTAGTAATTATAGGAATAAAATAGTGAGATTTTTTTTGTTTTGTTATTCTACTACATCGACCAAGACTAGTTCTAAGTAGTAAAACCTCGACTCATTTTCACAAACTTTTTGAGTGCCTACTGCTTGGTACTGGGGATACTAGATGAGTCAGACATGGTTCCTACTCTCAAGGAATCCCCTCACAGCAAGAATCTCTCTTCCTCCACTCGCTAATCCTTGCCTCCTGAAGGAGCTGTCTCATCAAGTGTCTGCTGGATTTTTGACTTCTATTCTCCAAGAGCTCCTTTTCCACAGCAAACATAAGATCCCCACACTTGCCTTCTCCCACCCCCAGTCAATCTCTCTGTTTTTACCTCCACCTTTCCCGCCAACTTCCTGTGAAGAGCAAGCTGGCTTTGCTGCGTTCCCAGGCTCTGCTCCAGTTACTCCAGTCAGTGCAGTGAGACCTCTGATGGACAGCAATGGTTTCCTGATGCAGGAATGCCTCGCTTTATTGCACTTCATGGATGCTGCGTTTTTGTTTGTTCTTTACAAATTGAAGATCTGTGGCAGCCTTGTGTCAAGTCAGTCTATTAGTAACACTTTCCCACCAGCCTGTGCTCACTTTGTGTCTCTGTTACATTCTGGTAATTCTCAAATACTTAAATATTTGTCAGTATTATTATATCTGTTATGATAATCTGTGATCAGCAATCTCTGATGTTACTATTAATATTTTAATTTTTTTGGCCCTACGAACTACACTCATATAAGATGGCAAATTTAATCCATAAATGTTCTATGTGTTCTGACTGTTCCACTGACAGGTGGTTTCCACCCATCTCCCCATCCCCTTTCTTAGCCCCTCCCCCATCAGTCCTCCCTATTCCCTGAAAACAAAATGATATTGAAATTAGGCCAGGCCAGGCTTGGTGGCTCAGCCTATAATCCCAGCACTTTGGGAGGCCGAGGTGAGAGGATTGCCTGAGCTCAGGGGTTTGTCATCAGCCTGGGCAATATAGTGAGACCTCATCTCTACAATAAATCAAAAAACAATCTGGGTGTGGTAGGGCACACCTGTAGTTCCAGCTACTTGGAAGGCTGAGGCGGAAGGATCACCGGAGCCCAGCAGGTCGAGGCTGCGGTGGCCGGGAGCGGCCACTGCACTCCAGTCTGGGTGACAGAGTGAGACTCCAACTTAATAAATAAATAAATAAATAAAAATAAAAATTACCTGGGTGTGGTAGGGCACACCTGTAGTTCTGGTTACTTGGAAGGCTGAGCCCAGCAGGTCAAGGCTGGGGTAGCTGTGAGTGTGCCACTGCACTCCAGCCTGGGCAAGAGAATGAGACATCAACTCAAAAAAAAGAAGAAGACGAAAGAAATTAGGTCAATTAATAACCCTACAATGGCCTCCAAGTGCTCCAGTGAAGAGTCATATTTTAAACCAAAGCTAGAAATGATGAGGCTTAGTGAGGAAGGCATGTTGACAGCCAAGACAGGTCAATGGCTAGGGCTCTTGTGACAAACAGTTAGCCAAACTGTGAGTGCAAAGGAAAAGTTCTTTTTCTCTTTGAGTTGGAGTCTTACTCTTGTCACCCAGGCTGGAGGGCAGTGGCACACTCCCGGCCACCACAGCCTCGACTTGCTGGGCTCAGGCGATCCTTCCACCTCAGTCTTCCAAGTAGCTGGAACTACAGGCACGCACCACCATGCCTGGCAAATTGTTTTATTTATTGTAGAGATGAGGTCTTGCCAAGTTGCCCAGGCTGGTCTCAAACCTGCAGGCTCTGGCAGTTCTCTCACCTCAGTCTCCCAAAGTGCTAGGATTATAGGTGTGAACCACTGCACCCGGCCAGGAGTTCTTGAAGGAAATTAAAAGTGCTACTCCAGTGAACATGAGATAAGAGAGTGAAACAGCCTTATTGCTGATATGGAGTAAATTTGATGGGTCTGGATAGAAGATCAAACCAGCCACAACCTTCCCATAAGCCAAAGTCTGATGCAGAGCAAGGCCACAACTCTCTTCAAATCTGCAGAAGTTTGAAGCAGAGGTTGGTTCACGATGCTTAAGGAAAAAAGCCATCTCCAAAACATAAAAATGTAAGGTGAAGCAGCAAGTGTTGATGGAGATGCCGCAGTATATTATCCAGAAGATCTAAGACCATTGAGGAAAGTGACTACACTCAACAGCAGATTTTCAATGTAGACAGAACAGCCTTGGATTGGAAGAAGATGCCATCTAGGACTTTCATAGCACAGAAAAATCAATGCCTGTCTTTAATGCTTGGCAGGGGCTAATGCAGCTGGTGACTTTAGGCTGAAGTCAATGCTCATTCACTGTTCCTAGAGTTCTTAAGAATTATGCTACATCCACTCTGACTGTGTTCTATAAATAGAACAGCAAAGCCTGGATGACAGCATATCTGTTTACAGTGTGGTTTACTGAAATGATTTAAGCCCATCCTTGAGACCTACTTCTATGAAAAAAAAAGATTCTTTTCAAAATATTACTGCTCATTGACAACGTACTTGGTCACCCAAGAGCTTTGATGATGACGTATAAAAAGATTAATGTTGACTTCATGCCTGCTACCACAGCATCCACTCTGCAGTCCATGGATCAAGGAATAATATTAACTTTTTTTTTTTTTGAGTTGGAGTCACGCTTTGTCACGCAGACTGGAGTGCAGTGGCCGCTCCCGGCCACTGCAGCCTTGACCTGCTGGGCTCCGGCGATCTTTCCGCCTCAGCCTTCCAAGTAGCTGGAACTACAGGTACATGCTACCACACTGGCTAATTTTTGATTTCTTGTAAAGATGAGGTCTCGCCAAGTTGCCCAGGCGGGTCTTGAACCTGCGGGCTCAGGCAATCCACGCACCTCGGCCTCCCAAAGCGCGGGATTATAGGCTGAGCCACCGAGCCCAGCCAATATTAACTTTCAAGTCTTATTATTTAAGATATGCTTCTCATAGGTCTATCTCTAGCTGACAGAGACTGTGATTCCTTGGATGGATCTTGGCAAAGTAAATTGAAAACCTGGAGTCACCATGCTACGTGCCATTAAGGAGATTTGTGAGTCATGGGTGAAGATCAAAACAGCAACATCAGCAGGAGTTTGGAAGAAGCTGATTCCAATGCTCATGGATGACTTTGAGGGGTTCAAGACTTCAGTGTAGGAAGTACCTAGTGAATTTGTGGTAGAAATAGCAAGAAAACTAGAAGTAGTAGTGGAGCTTAAAGATGTGACTGATTAGCTGCATTCTCATGATAAAACTTGAGTAGATGAGGAGTTGCCTTCGCATGAATGAGGAAAGAAAGTGGTTTCTTAGGACGGAATCTACTCCTGGTGAAAATGCTGTGGACATTGCTGGAACAACAACACAGGCTCTAGAATATCACATCTAGACGAAGCTGCAGCAGTGCTGGAGGGGACTGGCTCCAATGTTGAACAAAGTTCTACTGTCGGTAAAGTGCTGTCAAAACAGCATCACATGCTACAGAGAAATCTTTGGTGAAAAGTTGTCCAATTTTAAGAAATTGCCACCATCACCCCAACCTTCAGCAACCACCACCCTATTAGCCAGAGCCATCCACATCCAGCTAAGACCCTCCATCAGCAAAACAATTATGACCCACTTAAGGCTTAGAAGATTGTTAGCATTCTTTTTAGCAATAAAGTATTTTAAAATAAAAGACATTACATTTTCAGACATCATGCTATTGCACACTTAA